TAACAATTGGACAATTTTGTTGTTACACTTGGTATACATGCATACACATCACATACACATTTTGGTTTCTGGTTTTTGGTAATTTATTGCCCATCTTATCCTCAAAAATTCCAATGCATTTTACTTATACACATTTGTGTCTTTTATTCCAACTTGAAGAAGTCAAACCAAACATTAGAAAAGCGCATCATTTAAAAGCTTTCCCACTTTGTCTCTTTATCTCAAAACACATATAAAAGATACACACACTATAAAGAATAATGAATTCAATAAACCTATTATACAAAGAAGAACATTTTTATTTTTATAATCATTCCTTAAAATAATGTAAATTCATTTTCCGGGAGTATCTTTGAAAAATATATAATGTTGAGGTGATTGGTGTTGAGTCAGGGTATTTTGGATAAGGGAGATAACTCATAATGAACTATAGCTAGAAAACATTTTTTAGAGTTATTTAATATTGACAAATTAAAAGGGAATATTAATTTGAGATTTAATTATCTAGTGTAATTTTTCTATAGCTTCTGTCTCTCATTTAGACATTAATTAAATAAAATTTGTATGTTTTCATTAGGCTGGCCTGTGTAAATTGTTCTTATATTTCCAGACTGAATTTAATTTTGAATTTTATCAGTTTAAAGGTAAATTCAATTTGTAAATTCCCTACACAAATTAATCCTGCTATGTTGTACACCTATTCTTATAGGGGTATGTGATAGAGCTGTTTTTAATCCATGGAAACTAGATGCAATAAAATTTGATGAAGAAATTGCTTATTTGGATGCACACTGTTACTATATGGAAACCACTGCCATGCTGTTTTTGGTTTGTGGAAGGTTGAGCGGGGTGAAAATTTGGCCTTGTAAAATATAGGAATTTGTGTACAAAGGAAAAGAAGAAATAAAGTGTAAATTGGAAAATTTTATACTCCAGGTATTGTACATATAATTTGTAAAATTTTTTTTTTTTTTAGTTTAGTTTTTTTCTCATGAAAACAGTTATTGTACAACAGGAAATAGACTAGACATGGAAGATTTCTGACTCCTCTTACTACTTCAACTTGGACTGTTACTTTGACTGCTACTCAGACTCTTATGAAAAATGTGTTTTTAGTAGATTTAGGCATTTCTCTATAGGGCCATTTATGTATAGAGATTTTGTGTCTAAACTGGCCATATATTTGTTTTTGATGTCTGTTTTTTTAATTTGTTTAGGAGGTCACCTGAATTTTTATGTGTGAAGAACTAATTGTCCCTTAAACACACTTAACAGAAATAAAATGACATATCCCCACACATAAAATCATAAAAATATGCCACCTAATTACCAAAAAATGTTTTTTAATTTTCTGTAACCATTTCTATAGACAAACATTTGGCTGACTGATGGGATCTCCTCTAGGCAGTGTTCTCACTTGTCTCTTCTTAGAATTTCTAGAAAGTGGCCATTTCAAAAACATTCTACCATCAAACTTTTATTATTTCAGATACATAGACAATTAACTGCTAATATATCCACAAAACACTTATTTTAACAGTTCTTGTCAAGCAACTTAACAGAATTTAACCTACAATAGACCTCGCCTTTGAAAAGCTACAAACAAAAACGACCTGGTCAACTTCTACTCAAACCACTTTTATAAAATTAAACCTTGTATAATTATAGATTTCTACTTAAGAGCATTAAAAATATGCAGCCCCCAATACCTACCCAAAGAAGAAACACACATATAAAACACTTTGAAAGAAAAACACTGATATCACTTCATCCACAGCATAAAGGCACAAAAAATACACAACTACAACAAAAATAAGAACATTATCCAAAATAATAAATTAAACAAAAACAGATACATAACACTACCTACCAACTCCATAACATCCACTATCCAAAACAACTTACTCCATCTAAACAACATCCAAATAGTCATGACCACTTCCAAAACCATTATGGATATAATCAGAACTAAAAACAACCACAATATTTCAGAAATAGACATATATAAAATAAATTGCAAAAAATGTTCCTCACAATACATTGGGGAAACATGTAGAAATTTAAAAAAACGTATATATGAACACAAAAGGGACCTCATAAATAACAATTTAATAAATGCGCTAGTCATACAGAGAAACAAATTCAACCACAATTTTGATCTAAAAATCAGAAGGAAACTCCTTGAGAGTGCCGCCATTGAATATTATCAAAATATCAATTTACACCCCAGTTTTTTTCCCAATTCTCACCTTTCCCAAAAGCATTACTACTTTCCCAAGCCAACATACACAACAACAAATATGCTGAAAAATCAAAAGAAAATAATTAAATCCATCCCTTCAGTCTTCTAAGATGTACAGCACATACGTCCATCTCATAACAATCTAATCACAATCTAAACAATATTTATTTTAAAAAAATTGAATATTTTTACTTTACTTTTTACCAGACTTTTAATTAGGACACTTTGTGCCCTCCACTTGATTTGACCTTTCAACCACCTTATGGATATTCATGAATGTTCTCAAATTTATAAGCTTTGATAAACCAATGATATATTTGTCTCTGTGTATATAAATGCATGCAGCGTAGTAAATCTTACATTACCTTGATAAAGTTCCTCAGAGAATGAAATGTCAGCTAAGAATAGTTTTTCCTCTTGTCTCTTTATTCATTTTGTCTCCTAAAGATATACTCTATTTGAGAATATTTACACTGTACTAAATGTGTTACTTGACAACTATAAAATTTCTAATGCCTTAATAACTACACATGCTTGGAATCTGAATCTTTTCAGTTTAATAATTTGATACATATTTTTGGGATGTGCGGTAGTTGCTCAGAATGAGAAATTGTAGTGCCGAATTTGAATTCCATTACATTTCACTTATGTGCAGATGCTCTTAGGAAAGGTATGAATTGTAAGTAATGGGTATGACGATAAACTATGTCTATCAGCAAGGCCTCTGATCAGGAGATTGGAGTTTTTGAGGAACGTGGATCCATCTCTTAATTGCAGTTGTTCCCAGGTCCACCCTAACCTGAGGTGGTAGTACCTGTTAGATTCTCAGTTATGAGCAAATAGTGACCCCACCAAACAAAAACAAAACCCTATGAAAGTATAAAAATATATTTTTACAGTAAAAACACCAGCAATAGATTTTTATATAAAAAATTACCAACGTACCTATTTATAGTAAAATGACCAACAATACATTTTATCTGTGGTTGAAGGCATACAATTGCATTCAAAATATTTGGATTTCAGCATGAAATAACCCATAGAGATTGAACAAAATCAATCAAAGGTATGAATCCATCTTCTCGGCTATTTGTAAAGGTTATTTATCTTACCATCCCATGAGGCAGGATGTGGCACAAGGTCGGTTTTTAATGCGGGGGTAAAACTGAGCCCGTAGGCTCGGGCAAAAATTCTTTGTAGACCCTGTATACATGGGGTCAGGTAGCTGTCTACCATCACAGACAAGACTCTGCCCTTTTGGCATAGCCTTGTCTGGCTTCCTCTCTGAGTTCAACCAGCACAGCTGGATACAAAATTCAAACTAATTGCTGAAGTATTTGTAAAACAGTAAGACACTGTGCTCTATAGCCATGATTGGCCACCAGTCGATGAGCAGGAAACTCTGATGTTAAACCAGCCTGAAGAGGGTTTGGCTTGGTTCAAGCTATCTTGCCCAAGATAAAGCTCTGACTGCAGTACATGTGGGGTCCTTTTGTACACCCCCTTTAATGGGTTATGTGATTTATAATATATTTCAAACTGGCTTAAATGATGCCCTATTAGGCAGCATTTAAGCTAGCTCCTGTTGAGAGCTCTTGATCGGGTCTTCATCACAATAGGTAGGGAGGAGTAGATGCAATAGGCAATGATAAACTATAGAACTCAAAATTGATTGCTGCATTTAAGTATTGCATTAATATCCAAGTTTACCTTTTGAAAAGTCAATGATAATTCTTCTTCTGCCATTTAATTCAAGGACAATTTGATGTACATAGGTCCTCACTTTCCGTACATACAATTATTCTTATTTTATGAGTGACTTTTCCTGGGTTTCGCAATTAATTTTAATTATTCCCAAATTTATTTCCAAGTTATAAAGATTGTTAATGTACAAAAAATTTGTTGCAAAAATCATGTAAAAAATTGCCGAAAACAATCATAGTAAAAAAACTTGGGAATCCAAAATTTCAGGATTGTGGATCCTTGTCTGGCCTGGAACGTTTTTAATTTACTCATGGGGTCTGCTTGATTCCAAAATCTTATGACATATTGGACTATGGCCTCTAGAATTAAAGTTGAAAAAAAAAAATGTGATATTTGTATTTATTATACAGATATTTTTTTAATCTTTCCATAAGTTAATTAAATTTTATTCTAAATTGGTATCAACAAGGGAGGAATATCATATTTTATCAATAAGTTTCAATAAAAAGAATTTGTCTCAAACAGATTAATTAATGTTCTAATTAATGTGTCTGCTATAACAGATTATCATATGCGGAACACTCGTATGATGCCTCTCTGAACAGTACAATCTTAAACTCTTCAAATTGAGGGTCAGTCATTATTTATTCTCAAAATCTTCACTTCTTAGCAGCTATCATGCACTACCTTGATTACCTCTCGAGCCTTATCTCAGGGAAACTCGAGCAAAATGGTCATGTTCTAATTAATGTGTCCATTCTAATTAATTTCTTTGCAATAATTTGAATATAAAGTTTTTCTTTCTCAAACACAAGTTGATTCAATAGTGTATTCCTCTCTGCAACCTGTCGGTATTATTTTATTTAGTTGTAAACAATTGCATATTTTTGGTTTGATTGATTTGTTTTCCACAGCTTATCAACCCTTTATAGGTTATTTAAAGTCAGAAAATGGGCAATCCATTTTAGATTTGAAATTTGATCATCTGAGGTAACAAATTTGTTAATATAAAGAATAATTACTCTCATGGGTTATTTTTTCTTTTTGTTTGTAGGCCCGAGATCTACCAATTCAAATAGTGACAAGAAGTCAGCAACCAAAGAAAAGAAGAGGAGTCCATCTAAGGGGCAAAATGAAAAATCCAAATCTTCTGCAGAAAATTCACCAGAAGAGTGAGTACATTTAAAAATTATCATTGACTAGCAGTAGAGCCCGGCGTTGCCCGCGGATGTAACAGTAAGAGATAGATCAAGTATCGACCATCATAAAGACTGAAAAATAAAATTGACAAAGATTATTGTTTAAGGTTGACGGACACACATGTCTTAATTAGTTTTTTGTTTTTTTTGAATTGGTCAAACCCAAACTCAAACAAAAAACATTGTTTTCAATCGTTATGAGTCTACCGATTGAATAGAATTTTATTATAAACAATTGTCTTGTAAATGGAATTTTTAAAGCATTCTGAATGTAAAATAAAGAAAAAAAGTGTGCAAGACAATAAGAAACACTACCTGCAAAAAAAAAAGTGAAGTTTTGTTCAAATCGGTTGAAAAAGGTATCCTGTATATAAATGAACACACACACACACACACACAACACAACACACACACACACACAACCTGGGTTTTTATAATAAGTATAACTCGATATGAGATGTCCCCCTTTTATTCTCGTGGTGCCTCTTAATCGTGTTTTCAAATTGATTTCATGCAAAAACAATTGTGTTTTTTCAATTTTTGGCGCTGTCAGAACCACCGCAAGGTAATTTTATGTAGTCCTGTGAAGTTTTGTTGAAATCGGTTGAAAAATGTAGGAAATCTGATCCAATATATAAACGTACAGACACACATACACACACAACCTGGGTTTTATAATAAGTATGATTTTAAAATCCTCAGCATTTCCTACTATTCCAATTGTAAGGAGAAATTTCAACAGTGATAGCTTTTTTTTCTCAAGAATTGCCAGAATTGTGGAACACTCTCATATGGATGTGTCCCTGAACAGTACAATCTTAACCTCTTCGAGGTCAGTCATTATCTTCACTTCTTACTACCTCCTCTTACATTCATATCACGCTACCTTGAGTAGCTCTCGAGCCTTATTTTGGGGAAACTTTTTTGCAAAATGGTAGTTGTTCTGATAGGCTTTTCTCTTTGGTACTTCAAATTTACAAATTTAAGTGCAGTACTGGATTGGCAGTTAGGTCTGAGCATTTTTAAAGTTGAAATTGCCATTATAAATCCTTAATCAGTAGGACTCTATGCTAAACGATTGTGAAAATATATTCACTTTTCCAATGCCATGATGTAGCTTCCCTGTGCGTTTCTATAAATATGTTCAAGGTAATTGTTCTCATGAGCTTGCCTCTTGGGTAAACTCAACTTGATGAATTTAAACATAGTACTGGATTAGCAGACACGTTCTATACTAACAGTTTGAGTGAATACATTTAGAAATTATGTTATATTATTAAGCATTTCATCTCTATTCCAATTATAAGGAGGAAATACCACACCAATAGCTTTTTCTGAAGAACCGCAAGAATTGCAGGACAGTACAATCTATCTTAACCGTCACATCTTACATTCATATTATGTACTACCTTGATTTGCCTCTTGAGCCTTCGGGGAACTTTAGCAAAATAGTAATTGATCTGATGAACTTTCCTCTTTGGTACCTTGAATTTACAAATTTAAATGCAGTACTGGATTGGCAGTTAGGTCTCGTCATTTTTTAAGTTGAAATCATCATTAAAAATCCTTAATCATTAGGATTCTATGCTAAATGATTTTGAAAATATATTCACTTTCACAATGCTGTAATTTAGCATCCCTGTGCTTTGTCAATAAATATTTTCATGATAATTGTTCTTAAGCTTTCCTCATTGGTACCTTGACATTTATGAATTTAAGCACAATTCTAGGCTGGCTGTTTGGTCTTGTAATGTCACTGTTGTAACAGTAAGTTCTATGGTAAGTTTCTTTTCTTGTACTTCTTCCTTGTGGAACTCACTTCTGGCTTCTTGCTTTCCTGTCACCATTGATCTTCAAAAATTTTAATCCAATATCAATCGTTATCTTATGTCATCTTAATTCCTGTTCTTTTATAGTTCTCTCTCCCTAATAATGTTTAATGCACTACCTTGATTGCTTCTTGAGCCTTATCTTGGGGAACTTGTTCTTTTATAGTTCTCTCTCCTTAATAATGTTTTTCTTTTTCTCATATTCTTCCACACTCAATAACCCCTTGTGTCTCGGTGGCTTTATTACCTTGTTAGGGGTGAAATGAAAAAAACAAAAAAAAAACAAACCACATAACAAGCAACCGAATTACTGCTTTTTGATTTTTTTCAACTTTGGATTTGGAAAGTCATGCATCTGAAATAAAAGGGAAAATGTAATAATTTATTTCAACCTTTTTTTTTCTGTTAGTCAAAACTGAAATCTAATTGTGATATATATATATATATATATATATATATATATATATATATATATATATATAAAAAAAAAAAAATGGAGAATGTGTAAAGCAAAATGTGGAGTTGGAATATGAGGCTAGGATTGATTGCTAAAGATGCTTGGAAAATTGTCAGCTCATTATATTCTTCCAGGAAGTACTGGACTACAGTTACGCTTTATATTTACAAGAGTCAGAACCCATATAACAAGGAGTATTGCTGCCATACCTGCTGCCGAAGGTGCTTGATAGAGTTCAGAATCAGATAACACATAAGACATGTTCTCCATCCTACAGCCTCTTTCCGAGACACAACTTAGCAAACCTATCGCTTTTCGAGTCTGTCTATATTTCTGAGATGAGGTTATGTACAGTATTTACATTAGTCGGACTATTGTCCTCATCTTTGTCGCCATATTTGTCACAACGTTTCGGCCATTGTACACTCCGGCCTTCTTCTGGTGGTTGGAATTTCGAACTGAACCCTTTATTTCGATCACTGGGGTAGACTGTTCTAGTTCCACGTGCCATGTTTGATGGATGTCAGTTATCAGTTATCTCCTAATTTTTCCTCTGAAAGTTCTCCACTGCCTTAACCGGGTATTGAACTCACACTCTTTAGGTCTGTCACTGGATCTAACCAACTGTGCCATGTGTCCTTGAGGACATCTGGGTATGAATTTCTGGGTATTGCTTTTCTATGATTATGTCCATGGGAAATATTCAGATGAATTCCATTCTTTAGTTTCACTAATTCAGACATTTACTGAGATGATATGCCATGCTATTTTCATTGAATCACACTCATTTCCTCTGTTTTCTATATGGGGATTCCCTAAGCATAGCTTAGATGTGGCACAAGGGGCACTCAATGAGGATCGAATTCACTAAGCTGTAATTGTTCTAATGAGATAAGCTTGTTAGCCATTAGATCACGTTGAGATCCCCCTTGTTTTCTAAATGGAAAGAGAAATATTCACTGAAATTTTTTTTTTTTTTTCTTTTTTATTAAAGGGCTTCAGTTTGATTTTTAACAGGATTCATTCCAAGGAAGAATTTAATAAACAACAATTAAAAAATAAAAATGTGGAGAGGGTAGCATTGATAGTTATTTGTCCTTTGATCTTCATAATAGTTTGAGAGGAGGAAAATAAGGATTTCTACTGTATGGACAACATTTATACTCGGTGAATCTTCATATTTCTTCTCATGTGTATAAAGAAAAGTTAATTAAAAAAACTATGGCAGCTAATTGTCTTTTTTTAAATGTTGCCCATTAAATTCTTCATTGGGATGAACGGACAAAGACTGATCAAAAATATCGGAACTGGTGTTATAAGAAGATAACTACACCATAACAATTCGGCATTTAATCTCCTTCGAATTAGTCCCCTTCTGAAGCCATGCATTTCTAGAACTCCTTTTTGAGATAGCAGCTGCTTAGTCACATTCTCTTGGATTTACTTGATATCTTGTTCCTATTAAGTGGGATTTGATTTTTAGAAAAAAGGAAAAAAGTTGCAAGGGACAAGGTCTGTGATATATAGTAGTTGTCAGATTTGGGGATTTGCCGTGCTTAACCAAAAACTACTGCACTAAATGGATAGGTGCATTGTCATGGTAGAGTTGCCACTCACTGGATGCTTGCAATTCTGGCCTTTTCTGACAAACAGCATTTTGCATGTTACGGTAGTACTCCTTGTTTACTGTCTGACCTGGTGGAGCATACTCATTATGAACAATGCCCTTGTAGGTGAAGAAAACTGTCAACAGTCTCTTCAACTCATTTGTGCTTGCTTTGATCTTAGGGACTTTTGGGTTTTCAACTGCAAAAAAAAAAAAAGAGCCTTGGTTTTGGGGTCATAGCAATAGCCCATGATTTGTCACCTGTTATGACTGTTTTCAAAAAGTTTGCATCTTCCTTATCACAATCAAGGAGCTCCTGAGTAGCTGAACCTCAATTTTCTTTTTGGTCAATTGAAAGCTGTTTTGACACAAGTTTGGCAGATACAGGTTTTACACCCAAATCTTTAGCGAGAATGGACTGACCTGAACTTTAACTAATGTTCACATCCTCCGACAACTTACGCACAATGATTTGAGAGGCTTTCCAAACAGCTGTATGCACATCTGCAATGTTTTCATCACTTCTGCTGGTTGTGGTTCTCTCATAGCACTCATGTCTGGCTCATACACTCCTCTCCATACACTTTCTGCAACTTTGTTTAGGTGCCTGCGCAGGTATCAGCAAGCTTTGGGGTGTAAAATTTGATGCACATTCTCTGTTCAGTTTTCTCTGCCATGATCACTGATTGAACCTGAGGTGTGGTGAGACAACCACACTCTACACACTTTCCTTCCAAGCATTGCTATGAACAAAGGAAGCATGGAGTATTGCTGCCATATATAGTCTGGAGCCCCTTCTGTTTGCCTCGGGGTTCTTGATAAGATCCAGAGACGGATATGCAATGTAATTGGCCCTGATCTGGCGTCTCGTCTGCAGTCACACTCTCACAGACGCGCTGTTGCCTCTCTCTGTCTTTTTTACAAATACTTTCATGGAAATTACTCCGATGAACTGCTTGCGCTGGTTCCCAGACTTCATGAATTCAAGCGCCCTATGAGGCTGGCATCCCGCTCTCACCCTTTCACTGTTGAAACTTTTAAATGTAGCCGTCTCTTCTACTCCAATAGCTTCATGTCTCGCACTTCTCGCCTGTGGAACTCTCTTCCCTATTCCTGTTTCCCTGACAGCTATAATCTCCAACTATACAAATGTAATGTCAATTGACATCTCCATTTGCCTTGATCTATCCACTCCTATCTGCTCTTGCTCCAAATCTTCTGTAACCCCTTGCGTACTAGTGGCTTCCCACCTTGCTTGGGGTGATCAATTTTAAAAAAAAAAAAGTAAGCACAAATGTTATAACTTAGTGTGCATGCATGACAGTTCAAGGTTAATTTACGCCAAGTGATTTCACTGTGTATTATCGCTACATTTCCATGGTAGCATCTTGATAGTTTTTGATCAAACCTTGTATTGACCAATTGTTAAAAATCAAAGTACTCCAGCTGGAAATCTTATTTTTTTTATTTTAATTTTGTTAAACTTTGATTTTGGGGAAAAAACATTTTGTGTGTGTGTGTAATAGCTAGCTACTTCCTTCCACTAGAGCAGCTAGCTAATCCCTTTTGTAGATGCCTATTCAGGCACATTTGTGCTTATTCACTACCCAGTGAGCCCAACTGTGGCTTCTACTGCAACTATACTGTGCAGTTTTTTGTTTTGGTTACTGGTAGACAGTGTCTCATCTAATCTGGCATGATCAACAGTTTCAACAAGGCCGTTACACTCAAACACTTGGTCATCTTGCATATTCGTCTCTGGATTTTGTCAAGGACCTCAGGATGTACAGCAGGAGCACCAGACCATATATGACAGCAATATTCCATGCAAGTTCGGATGGTTGATTTATAGATTTGAAGGACGGAATCCAATGAGAAAAACTTTCTGGCATGACACAGAGAACCAACTTTCCTTGCGGTAGATGAAGCTATTGATTCAATGTATTTATTCCACCTTAGTGGACAGTGTGAGACCAAGCAGGTGTAATGAGGCGCTCTCAAGGAGTTGGAAATCTGTCATTCCGATGGGAGACAGGAAGGGTTCTCTGTGGTGGTTAAAGGAAAGCACTTTTGTTTTAGAGACATTAAAGTTTACAAGTCATTTCCTGCCCCAGTCAGCCACAGATTGGAAGTTTTTTTTGAGAGCAGCAGCCAGGTTAGTTTTGTTAATGATACCAGATTTACTATTGAGGCAGGAGTAAATAGTGGTGTCATCTGCATAGATGCCAACTTGGGAACTGATGACATCAGGAAGGTCATTGATGAAGATCAGGAACAGTGTAGGGCCAAGATAGAGCCTTGGGAAACACCAGTGTTTGTAATAAAGGAGCCAGAGGAGAACTTGTTTATGACAATCTTCATTTCATAGTTTGACAGGAATGATTGTATTAAGTCAAATAATTGTCCTGTAATACTGCATCCCTGAAGCTTACCTGTTTTTTTTTTTGATTTTGTGGAAACAAGAAATGCACTCACTTGTGTCCTTTCATTGATTGGTTTGTGTGACAATCCTTAGTGAGTCGCATATTCTTTTTCCAGTATTTCTTGGCTTATTTAAACCAGTTCAGTTTTAGTTGGGTTTATTAGATGAAAAGAAAGAGTATTTGGGAATTCATCTTTATGGTCATTTATGGTTAGAAATGCTTGCTTGCAGCATAATATGTGGACCCTGTTACATCCCTAGTTTGGCAGTGTGTGTATATATCTATATATAAAATATACACTTTAAAAATTACGAGGTCAGATAGAATATGCAACCTTGGTTTCGACTTTACAGTCTCATTAGGCTAATTCTATCAACTGACCATCACACATACACACACACACACACACACACACACACACACACACACACATATATATATATATATATATATATATATATATATATAAAATATATGTGGCAAATAATGTTACAGTACAGTTTCTTATAATAAAAAAGCAAAGCATTGTAGCAGGTGGCTTGCAGTTTGAACATTATCGGTAATTAATTTATTACTATTTACCATAGCATTTTATTGTTATTAACCATAATTAACCAGAACCATTTTAATAATAAATTTCTGGACTGTTGATTAGTTGCTTTGTCTTAATTCTTATTGTAAGTAACAGTATAGTGACTTTATTGCCACCCTGTGTGTGTGTGTGTGTGTGTGTGTGTGTGTGTAATATATATATATATATATAATGTGTTTTAAACAAATGGTTTGTTTTTATTTATTAAACAGTATATTTATTTATTTTACATCTACCATCCTGAATATTTGAGAAATCTTGCTAGAAAAATATGTGTCCTCTGGCAGTATTCGAACCTGCAGCCCATGTGGGGAAACTGTCATTAGATCTGATGTGCTATAGACCAACTCATGTGTTGAGTATGGTCAACACAAGATATTATTGCAATACTTAGTTGTACCTTGAACGGACATGGATCTTTAAACTGTACAAACACTTAAAACCTCTGTTACAAAGTTGGTACATATGAAATACACAGTTTTTGTAGCAATTCTTGCGAAGAAGTCTTATAAAAAGAAGAATAGACATTTTCTGTTTATTAAATTTAACTAATATAAAGAAACTGCTAATTTTACCAATTACCAAATTTCTGTATACTAGAAGAGTTTTTTTTTTTTTTTTTTTTCATCTTTTAAGCATTTCACCCCAAGCAAGGCAACAGTGCCACTAGCACACAGGAGGTTACAGAGAGTGAAAGTGGGAGAAAAGAGTGGGTGTAGTGGGGATTCAGGAAAGGAAAAAAAAAGGACAGGGATCAAGGCAATAGACGATGGTGATAGATGTTGCATTTAAATTTTTGAAGATTGTAGTTATTAGGGAAGCAAATGAGAGGAAGTGTGTTCTAATGTCGGGAAGTGTGAGGAAAAAAACTGCAGGAGTAGAAGTGGCAGTTTAATTTTATATAATTCTTATTTAGTACTGTTCAGTTATTGCTTGCATAGTTTCCACTGAGTCCAAGTACACACCCATGGATTGAACTCACTTTTGTTTGTTTTTTAAATCATTTCATCCCAAGCAAAGCGAGAATGCCACCAGTACACAGGGTTACAAGCAGTGAAAGTAAAAGAAAAGACTGAGTATAGGGAGGATTGAGAAAAGGACAAAATATAAATTGGTTTCAAGATAGAAGATTGCAAATGACGTTGCATTTAAATTTTTGAAGATTGTAGTTGTCAGGGAAGCAACTAAACAGAAGGGAGTTCCATAGATGGGAAGTGCGAGGAAAAAAAAAACTGCTGGAGTAGAATTGGCAGTTGCATTTAGCTATTTCAGTAGTAAAAGGGTGGGACCTAGATGCCAATTTAGTAGCACGCTTAAAGTCATGTAGTCGGAGCACCAGTGAAAAAAAGCTTGTCAGAGCAGTAGCCATAAAATTATTTGTAGAAAAGACAGAGCGAAGCTACATCATGTCTGTGAGAAAGCGACTGAAGTTGAGTAGCCGATTTAGGACCGATTACATTGTAGCTTGTTTGGATTTTGTTAAAAACTGCAAGATGAACAACAGGCATAGCAGACCAGATATGGTAACAGTATTCAATGCAAAGATGAATGATAAATTTGTAGATGTTTAAGATGGACTCTGATGAGAATTCATACCTTTCACAAGGGTATTATTTGTGCATAAATGTATGTAACGAATCTGGCTGGAATTTGAACCCTGGCCTACGATTTCTCCTTCCGAGCTTACACCACCCACACAGCTTCTATAAACTAGTATATATTCATAATGATAGGATTTTTTATGACACTTGATATGAGATAGATGTTCCCTGTTCAACTTACATTCAAAAATCTGAGCAAAGTTTTTTTTTTTTCTTTAAAGTTCCCCTTTTCAGCACCCACTTGTAGACTCGTGCATGTATGTTATGGCTTGTAAATTGCTTGAAGAGTGAACTAAATTTGGAAAAAAAAATGAACATTTAAAAATCATTTCAGAAAAAAAAAAGCACATGATCTGTTATTGAAACTGGAGACTGCTTTTATTGCTAGACAAAAAGGCAGCAGAGAGAAGGTGAGAGTGAAAGGAGAAATGTTAGACAAACTGACTGAGTAACAAGAGACAGGATAAATTATAAAGAGAAAACTTTTAAAAGCAATAGAGAGAGAGAGAGAGAGACGAAAGAGGAAAGAGAGGGAGAGACGAAATGAAAAGCAGTGAGATTACTTGATGATGTCGGCATGAATGAGATGAGATCAATGGAAGGGAGGAAGGGGAGAGGATATTGCAATTAAGAAAACATATAAAAGAAGAAATTAGCTTCCACTAAGTCTGAATTGTGATGACAGAAATAACTATGAACTCCATTAATGTTTTTTAAACCATCTATTTTTACTGCTTCGGTAATTTTTCATCCCTTCCTGCTCATATTAGACTTGCCTCATTTACCTTTCAAACTTTTAAGTCAGTGAGGTTTTTTGGTTTTTTTCTCTTTCTGTTCAAAATCTGTGCATTTTTTCTTTCTCTTCATTTTGAACATTTCAACTAGTTTTTTTTCTTTCTTTTTTTTCCTCTTTGACTTGATTTCTTTTTACCTTCCCTTATTGCAGACATTCTTTCACTTCTTGTCATTTTTTCTTTTTTTTCTTATCTTTTTTCTTTTTTTTCTTCTCATCTTTTTTCTTTTTTTTCTTCTCATCTTTTTTCTTTTTTTTTCTTCTCATCTTTTTTCTTTTTTTTCTTCTTCTCATCTTTTTTCTTTTTTTTCTTCTTCTCATCTTTTTTCTTTTTTTCTTCTTCTCATCTTTTTTCTTTTTTTTCTTCTTCTCATCTTTTTTCTTTTTTTCTTTTTCTTCACATCATTTATTGTTTTTTCCTACTCTCTTTTTTCTCCTACTCTCTTTTTTCTCCTACTCTCTTTTTTCTCCTACTCTCTTTTTTCTCCTACTCTTTTTTTTTCTCTCCTTTTTCTTTTACTTCTCTCCTTTTTCTTTTACTTCTCATCTATTCATCTCTCCCCAATTTCTCTTTAACCATCCATCTTTTTTATAATTTTTTTCCACTTTCCACACAATCTTTATTCTTTTGCTTGGTAATTTTCCTTTTATTTAAATCCAGGCATAATTTGACCATTATTTTTTTTTACATGTTCCAATTTAGCTTAAAAACAAGAATGAATTGATTTCTATTCTGATTAGAAATTAATTTCCACTTTACACAATAAGTTGACTAATTTTTCTTCTGACCTCTATATTTTCAACTTTCTTTTACCCCTAAAAAGCTCAAGAAATGTCCACATTATTGAATGCTTATTTAATTGCTTCTGCTGTCAGCTCTGAGTAGCCAGATTTGAATTTTGTTTTTTGCCAATAAATGATTTATCTTGGCTTTCGCACTTTCAACATGACAGTATCAGGGATTACTTTATAGTTAGATAACAGAAGAGGTAGCCACAAGGTTTCTGGTTCAACTGATTTTCATAATTCAAGAATATTTTGAGAAGTCAGGACACATGATAGTCTTTCTATTTTAAAAGAAAATATCAATTCTATCAATTTGTTTAATGGCATATCAACTCCTTATAGGTCATTTAATGCCAAAATTTTATTCTCTTGTGAGCTCTGGTAATTTTTTTTACAAAAATGTGTTGCTGATAATTTTCTAAATTTTTTTTTTTTTTTTTTTTTGGTAACTATGAAAATGTATTGCTGGTAATTTTTTTGTATTTTCATATTTTCACCCCAGTTTGGGGGTTCACTATTTGTCCATAGCTCTGACTCTAACTTGTGATAACACCATGAGTCAGGGTGAACCTGGAAACAAAACCAATTAAGAAGTGGTTCCATGCTTCTTAAAACCGCCTGATCAGAGGCCTTGCTGCCAGATGTAGTTTATCATCATACCCAGGACAATCAAAAGCTGTAGTGATATAGATATCAGTGTGTCATAGATTTCTAGTTATTTTCTGTTTTGTTTAGTAGAATTCGAGTGTGTCTTTTAAGGTTTAGCACCAATATGAATCCTTTGTCTTCCATATGACAAGAGAAAGTTCCACTTAGATAGCTTCTTCTCAAGAACTACATTGCAAAATACACCTTGTTCATCAAAATCATTTTCACAGTAACTCTCTACTTTAAGTGGCTCTTGAGCAATGTGGTTGGTGAAGTTAATTATTAAAAAAAATGTATCTTATGTACCTATTTTATAAATTTTCTTTTAAGCAAGACAATTTTTTAGGTTACAAAAGAACAGTTATTCATCAGAATTTCTGTTTTGTTTTGTAAAGACAGGATGTTTTTAGATGGTATGGATATTCTTGTACTGAACATTATTATTTCTATCTTGACACCACAATGAATTTTGAAGGGATCTATAATGTTACTGCCTACAGTACTAACTCCAAACCATTACTCTACCCCCCCACACGCACACTCTTGGTTGACCATTTTTATGAAGAACCCAACCTCTCTCCCAACCACCAGGTTCATCCAATGTAGCTCTACATTCATCACTAAAAATTACTATTGAGAAATCAGTACATCTTTACCCAAGTTGCTTGTTTTTTTATGATGTTTACTTAAAGATGATAGTTTTCATGTCTTTAACCAATTTTCTTAATATTCTGCATCTTTACTGTTTACATTTACAAAATCCAGTTTCTTCAAATTTTTTCTTGATAGTCAATCCCCTTTTGGGGTTTATTACTCTTTTCATTTTTCTAAAATCACTTTTTGTTGCATTATTAAAGTTATCAGTATCTCCTGTTAATTCCCCTCTTCAAGTTCTCCACCGCCTTAACCAGGTATTGAACTTGCACTTTTTGGGTCTTTTCACTGGATTTAACTAATGCCTTTATCCACTGTGCCATGTGTCTTCAAGGACATCCATTAGACATGGCACGTGGAACTAGAGCAGTCTACCCTAGCAAGCGAAATAAAGGGTCCAGTTTGACATTCCAACCACCCAAAGAAGGCCGGAGTGTACAGTGGCCAAAATGTGATAAATATGGCAACAAAGATGAGGACAATAGTCTGAATAATGTAAATAGTGGATATAATACCTCATCTCAGAAATATAGACAGAGTTCTAGTGTTAGATAATTAAATCTCATAAATGGAACTGTTTGGAAGCTGTTAATGGTTTTGTTAGCTTGAAGTCACAAGTCATCATGACCGAGGGTTTGAGTGTACTGATGTTTTTTCAAACTGCTGATCATGTTAGATTATGTGTTTTGCTCACTGAAACTGTAACCAAGATCTGTTTAGCATCATTACCGTATAAACTACAGTAAGTAGGGTACCTCAACATGGTGTAATGGTTAGCAAGCTTGGCTCGCTAGAAAAATTATGATAGAGTAGTGAGTTCGATCCTCACTAGGTGCCCCTTACTTTGGCCCTTGTGCCACATCTAAGCTACGCTTGGAAAATCACTATAAACCACAGTAAGCTTCATGAATGTTGAGCAAACACAATGTGCTTGAGCAGGCTTCTGCAATAGGGATTGGTATGCTGCTGTAACAGATGGGTATGACTGGAAAACAAGTTGCCAGCCATTACAAATATGTGTATTTTCTAAAGAGTTAATAGATTTTATTTTTTTTATTTATTTATTTTTTAATCCAACATATTTTTATTACTTCAAATGTTATTTTTAGTGGATACCAGTATTTGAGGAGATGCTCTTTTTATTTCAAACAGTATTTATTCTGTCTACCAGCACACTCGAGAAAGTGAAAATGAGCCCAGGGTTCAAACCTGCGTCCATCCTTGCAGATAAAATCACCACCTGATTCTGACTTGATTTGAGAAAGTGTGCAGGTGGTAGATGAAATATATACTGTATAAGATAAAGGCTGCATTTACTCAAATGTGAGTATCCACTTAAAACTAAAACTAAAGGTAATAAAAATGTCTGTGTGTGAAGAGGGTGATAGGTAGATAATTATATACACATTGATAAGCAGAGATTTGTAATCTTTATTTTCACATGCACACACACACACACACACACATGTATTTTGATTGAAAATGGTCTTGTATATTTGATTGAAGATCACAGAAATATTTCTTTTAACAAATTTCTTGTTAACTATCTTTGATGTTTCAATGTTAAAAGATTTATTTTCCAATAGTGTCTCTCCAAGTACTTTCAACCATTTTGGCTAGCTTGAGAAAGTAAAATAAGGGTAAGCTGACTGGAAAACAAAGGAACATTTGCTGCCTAAATACACTAAAATATATATATATATGTGTATATATATATATATATATATATATATATATATATATATATATATTTTTTATTTGAAAATTATAACATAAATATGTTATAATTTTCGAATAGATAATTATATTTGCTCTACTCTGTATTGAGCACTCTTTTAAGAATAGTATTTGTTGGTTATTGGAATTCATTTCGTATACACCAATCCCATACTTGGAGATATATATATGTATAAATTTATTAAAAAATTATATCATAAACATGTTATAAAATCATTACAAAAATTGCTATTTAGTTTCAACACTGGTGACTTATCAAGTGATGGTGTTGAAGGATTCAACACCATCACTTGATAAGATACCAAAAGTGTTGAAACAAAATGGATGTTTTTGTAGTGATTGTATAACATGTTTATGTTATAATTTTTGAATAAATTATATTTCCTCTACGCTGTATTGAGCCCTCTTTTAAGAATAGTATTTTTGGTTATTGGAATTTTATTCCGTATACACCAATCCTATACTTGGGGTGTATATATATTGTTTTATCTTATTTAGTTTTTCTACTGTTCTTATGCTTTTTCCATTTGCTGGGAGTTAATGAGTACAAAAACTGTCCATATTTTTGATTGTCCCAAGCACTTTAGGCCACTTTAGCCATTTTCAGTGGGGTTGTTTTTGACAGTGTTAGTTCATTTTCATGTTTTGACTGTAATCCCTAGGCAAATTATGGAGGAGGCTAACTGGTCTAATGTCTAATAAGCAAAAGTGACTAAATGTTTTTATTTTTTTTATTAGATAATGTAATTAATATTTAAAGTATTTTAAATTGGGCTTAACTTATGTATTATATATTTTAAATAACAAAGGGTTATAAATTTAACTGTTTTCTTTTAATTTTCTAACATTTTCATAGTCATGTTTGGCTTGGGAAAAGAGTAATTCTTTCAGGAATGGAGATATTTAAAAAAAATCCAGGGTGTAGATTTATATTTTGATAAAATTTGATAGCAGAACTCTTGAGGATTTTCTAAGTCATTTACCTTTAATAAGGTTGGGATTCTTTAGATCAAAGTTGTAGATGAATTTATTTCTCTGCATAACTAATGCATTTAATAAATTTCTGTGTATAAAATCCATTTTGTATTCATTGATATACTTTTTTTTTTTAAATTTCTACAAATTTCCCCTATATATATATATATATATATATATATATATATATATATATATATATATATATATATATATATATATATCTGATTGAATAAATTAGACATTATGTCTGCTAATTTTTCAGAAAATCTGTTCATACTCATGAATAATCTTCCATGTTTTGATGCTAAAGGGTGAGAGAAATGTGCAATAGCTGTTTAAATTTCTTTTATTTTCATTTCCTAAGTACTTTCGATCTTTTTCCAAGATCATCTTCAGGGGTGCCAGTAATACAAAACTATATGTTGTTCATTAATATAAGTGTTTATGCAAAGTTGTGTGTTGTTATCCATTACCGTAATATAGCACATTTCTCTCATCTTTTAACATCAATACATGGAATGTTATTTGTGATTATGAATGGATTTTGTTAAAAATTAGCAAACATAATGTAATTTATTCCATCAGACATTCCTAAGAGAATTTGCTGCCTAAATACACACACACACACACACACACACACACACACGTGTGTGTGTGAGTGAATTGGGTAGACAAAGCTATTTGGGAGCTGTTGATGGTTGTACAAGCATGAAGTCACAAGTCATCGTGACTGAGGTTTTAAGTGCACAGGCCTTGTTCAGACTGTTAATCAT